TGTGAGAATTCAGGGTTCAACTCCTCCAGTGTGGGTACCTTGTGAGGACAACATTTGAAGTTGTCATTCAGGAGTTTTGGATTCAAACATAAGTGCAATGACCCATCTTTTTTTACACTCGCAGAGAGTGAGCTGCACCAGTCAGTGTGGTGGGTGACTGGGCCGATAACGCCATCCTGCTCTATCTTCTCAAGCTCAGTTTTAAGCTTTGCCTCGAGGTGAATACTGCATTTGTGCAGTGGGTCTATATGCGGTCTAGAATCATCTTTTAGATGGAGACGTGCCCTGATTTGAGGCTCCCTAGCGTGTCACATTGGGTGGGGTACAGCCTCTTAAGGTCCTCAGTGCTTTTGATGCCATGGGTAGCAAGGGAAAATGAGCCTGTATTGGAGGCTGTATTCGGTTCCCTTTGAGTTCGCACGTTGCTGTCATGGTTGGTGGACACATGAATGGTCACCAGCTGTAACTTCTGGCTCATTGGCAGGTCAGCAACAGCTGGACCCAAAACATCCAAGATGAAGAATTTTTCTCGTGACCAGTTACTGCCCTTGTAACTGCACATGAGGTGCAAGAACCCATGACACGTTATGGTGGAGCCATTGTAGGCTGTGAGGTAGGTGTTGGTCGGTCAGGTGAGAGATTTCCACTTTGTGGTGCATACGGGCAGAGTGTTGGCACTTATGATGGTGTCCACTTTTACTCTTAAGAAGTGTCGTCCAAGTCTGTCTGGGCAGACAACGTCAGGTGTTGTGAAGGCTTAGGTAGGTCCATGCAACTGCATGGGGGTGACACATGTCGAACACAGTGATGGAGTCAAATGTGACACCAAATAGGTCTAGGTTGTCTCCACTTACGAGATCTTGCTGTACCCGAGGAGTCATTTGCCCAAGAACCACTACGTTTAGGTGACCTACTGCAAGGTTTGTGCAGCTTTGACGTGCTGCACACCGTGCGGCGACGCCTGCCATCTATGTCGAGCTTGCTTGCCTTCCTACAAAGCTTGGCCCAATGGCCTTTGCCGGAGCAAAACTTAAACGTGTTGTTGTATACTGGGCAACTGCAAGGTTTATGGTACAAACTGCAATTTCCACATGGGCACCATGTAGAACAGATTGCCTCGACTGACGCTGAATCATTTGCGGCCTTACGCACTGCGTCATCGGAGAGCAACTCCGATGAAACAGGCTGTGACGAAAACCATCAAGAGGAGTAGAGGCTATGACCAACTCAACCACTCGTTCGTCTAACTCTGCTTCCAGTGTTTTCTCGGCACCTGTTAACAAAATCATCAATTGTTTCCCCATGCTTTTGTTTGTACCTTATCAACTCTAGCCTATGTATTTGAAAATTGACACTGATTTTCAATTGATTTTCACACAATGCCCATACCTTCTCTGGCTCTTCTTGGTCAGTTTTGGATAACCCAGAAAAGTCAAGATGTTTCAAACCTTCAGTACCTACAGAAATTTTCATTTTCAGGGCTAGTTTCTCCGCCTGGTTAATGTCATAGTCATTCATGCAGAGAAACACTTTTGCTCAAACAACTCAAACTCTTCGCCCACATTCTTGGCAGACCAATTCATCTCTGGAAACTTAGCCCCGATTGGTGGCAGAACATGCATACACCAATGTATGTCTTACTTCAAGCAAATGTGAGGGCACTACAAAATATCTCAGCCAACACTGAGCATTTTAGTGAGCAAGGACTCATGCATATACTGTAGTATAAGTAGCTGTAAGCCTATCAACACAATCAAAGCCTAACACTATAAAACAAACAAAATTGCAGATCGTTTTCAGCAACGTATAGGCCTAACACTATTAACAGTGGTCTGAATGAAATCGAAGCTTATTGAACAAATTGTGCTCCTGTTACAACATATCAGTCATGTGAAAACACAAGCCAATAACAAAGGTGAATGGTCACAGTATAGACAGTAACACAGTCATTACAGTTCGACGATACTGTACTGCAATACATGGGCATAGTTCGTGCAACAAAAAACAGTCACTCGCCAAGTACTCGCTGCGACTACTGTGATGTGACTGGCCTGTTTCAGGTTACAGTCTTTGTCAGGAGCCATTCGTCGGGTCGGCGATGATCCCCGGTATGCACTCCAATGATGCAGCAAAGTGCTTTTGTGGGCCACCCGGGAGTACCGGTTCAAACTTGAAGGCCATGTTTTTTCACGAAATGGGCGCGATGCCCGCTGTAGGTCATGTGTGGTTTCAGTGGTGCAGTGAAAACATCTGGACTGCACGCCTGGTCTCAACCGTCAAGGTAGTTAGTTTCCAATGATGAGGGCTTGGGGCATGGTACTGGGCTGCGATGCCAAAGTTAGTCCCAAAGAGCTTGTTTCCGAGGCGACATGGAGTAGGCCAAAAGACAGTGATGGCAACAGTCTGCAGTCTTATTATGGGTCACAGTACATGGACGAGATGCATGCATGAGTGCATGATCACACAACATGGCCTGGCAAACATGCGCTAGTCAATGCGGATATGCACATGGTACAATGTCTACATGGGCTGTCCAGGTGAGTTATGGAGACTAGAATCATCGGTGAGCATCTGGACATCAGAAAGTTTTAAGCCAATCTTGCCTGTCTTCGTCACCAGTATTTTCTCCAAGGGCACACACAATGCCACAGCACCCAATAGGTCCTTTCACCACTGCCACCATGTTGGGATGACGGAATAAAGGTGGAACACGGAGGTGCCTTGTGTGGACTAAGTCATGGCTGAATGTGTTAATTCCATAAAGTGCCCGCATGGGCAGACATCCTCAGCAAACCTGTGCTGTACATGAATATTCATATATCTCTACATGCATTGTCAGTGACTTGAAAAGTGTGTGTGGGGGGAACTGTACTGGTAATCCCCAAAGGTCGAAAGTGGGTGGAATATATCCCCCCATCTCTGCCCATGGTACATATCACTCATGGTTACACATGTACACAGCATACAGTACATCCGCACACAAGGAACATTGGCCACTTTGTATGAGCAACAGGGTGACTATGCTGAAATGTTTCTTCATGTTATCTATATGAAGGCAAGGAGTTTTACCTGGAAAGAATCCTTCAAATCAGAAAACACATGTCATGTGGTCAGGTAGATTACGTTTTGTGACTTAACTTGGAGAAATCTTCATTAAATATTTTGCACTAAAATGGTTTCCAGCCCATCTATTACACATGTAGATGTAGTTTCAATATAGTAGCAGAAACCAATGCAACCGAGCATAAAATCCCCAAAATACTAGACAAATGTTGCATTTTGTTTTGTGAGTCGTTTCAGTAATGTTTTTGTCTTCCAGTCTTTAAATGCTTGGAAACTTAACAGTGGTTAAACCCATATTAAACTACCTGTAGGCCTGTAGAACAGTGTCGAAGGTTTCATTCAAAAATCAAATGCAAAGTTTTAATATGACTTCTGCATAATTCTTCTGCTTTCAGCAGAAATTTTTCCCAAGCCACAAATCAACAAAAAGGAAGAAAAAAATTCCGCTGTGGACAATAGGAATCCATTCAAAAAGAAACTGGGGATCTTGCAACAGTGGAAAGGGGGGGCTAGAAACAATTATACAAAGATATCTGCAAGGGCAAGACACTAAAGCAAGGCCTCCTTGTCTACAGTACCACATTATGACCACCAAAACCATATGGTAGAGGGTGAATTTTATAATTTATTCATTGATCAAAGTTTTCTAGACGGCAAGGTACAGATCATGACAGCATCAGGTGGAATATTCTGTCAGTCACCCATACAACAGTATGAAAAAGTAAAAAGAAAACCCTCACTCACAGAAACAGTGCCAATTTGCGATGTTTTAGTCCTTTGTGGATTGCAACAATTTTTCTTTTTCTGCATGGCCACGGATTTCACTAGATCAGTTCAAACAAGTGAGTGTACCATCAGTGTTGTAGTCGAGTACTTTTTTCTGAGTACCAAGTGCTGCCGAGTACTTTGACTGCCGAGTACAAGGACAGAGCGAGTACTTTTCAAGCCGAGTACTGGTTTCCAAGTACAAGTACTTGCACTTCCGAGTACAAGTACAAGTACTTCTAATTCCAAGTACAAGTACTTCTAATTCAAAAGTAGTTTTATCTTAATTTAGAGACTCTAAGACCTGCCACTGTGTAAAAGAAACACTGAATGCAGATGACATGGCTACAAGAACAAGTGATCTGGCTAGCAATGTCACGGTCACTACATGTGCGTTACAGCAGTTGACACAACGTGCACTGTGCTGCGAAGTCTATTTTCCAGGCTCAATTATTTACATCCCCGTGATTTTCTGTATGCTGGGTTCGTTGTTAGAATTTTCGGGTCCAGGAACCAGACTACCAATGCCCAAGTAAATCGCGGGACCATTCAGGAGTACCACAATATAATTTGATTGGTTAAGTATGCGCACAGATGGCAAATGGGTCATATGCGTTAATGGTCCCACGTTCTGCCTTCTCTTTGTCAGAACCGTATCGAATATCGGGTCATTGGAGTCAGTATTTTTGTACCTTATTTTAACGGCCGTTCATGGTAAGTTAATTTAAAGGATTTTTTTATCGAGTACTGTGAATCGAGTTTGAGTACTTTGATGATCAATTACAATTTTTTGATGTCGAGTCCCGAGTATTTTGTAGCCCGAGTACAAGAACTGCTAGGAATCAAGCATGGGCACCAAATAAAGGCATGGACACAGCATGGTTCAGTGGATGACAGGTATTGGATATGCAAGCAACTGTTTTGGCAGTGCAACCTTATTAAGTTCAATGTCTTGGTTAATGTCATTTTTCTACAATTTGATTGGCAACTTCAACATTAAATACCTCAAAAAGGATTTTAAGCAAAATCATTATCTTTTCATTGTAACATATACCTGCTATCATCATGCCAAGCAAATCACAGCTACACACTGACCTAATGAGCCATAATGGGTCTTCAGAGATTTATTTTTTAATCATGTTGAATTTAAAACAAGATTTCAAATGTATTACCATGAGTAACTGCAACTGTAAGGCTCTTCAACAGAGGTTGACAGACATCTTGACAAAGGTACCTATGGCATGAAAATCAAAAAACAAATGAAAACAAATGTGAAAACTGGTCCCCTCTGAAGAATCTTGCTCTAGAATTGAAGAGGCCCCAAAATATCAACTTTGCTTTCCTGTAATGTGCACAAAATAACTGAGCTGTGATTTTAATGTGATATTTTTTCATTTAAATATTCAAAGTTAAAAACCATTTCAATCTGACCCATTCATGTTTATTTCTAACGATGTCTGCAAAGTTTAAATCTATTAAATTTTTGGAGAATCAGCAACATTTAAAGAATGTTGTAAAAAGGTCAAACAAAGTTTAACCCATCACCATGTTAAGGCTGTGCTGCATATCCAAATATCTGAATATTAGTTTTTGATTTGAACATTCGAATGCACAATTGACAAACAAGGGAGAATTTCTTTTTAAATGAAAAAAATCTCACTATGGAGGCTTGTTTCAAGCAGATTCCAAACACTTAAAGGAAGCTGATATACCCAACAGTCCAATATAGAATTCATCCAAGACTATGGAAACAGCTTTCAAAACAAAAACAAAACCGAAAGTGCCAAGAAAGTATTCTTTTTAATGATGATGTATTGAAGTAAACTTTGTTGATATAAGATATGACTAAACAAGGCAATACTACAATTTCAAATTGAATGACCGGAGGTTTGGAGAAGAAGCTGCATCAGACGAAACTGTAAGTAGTCTCTTGGCGACCACAAATTCTGGTGTTTGTTCATTGCAACAATATACAGAGATGCCACAGGGTCTGCTCAAAACAACTGAAACGTTTTTATCATGGCAGATAACAGTGAAGGGCACGACCGAGCCTAGTGAGCGCAGCGCATGACAACCGGGTTCTCTTCTCTTGCAGCTGTATCCAGTTCCACTTATTTTCATCTTTGATTGGATGGATTTAATACAGTGTATGTCCATTCTTTCTAAAACTTTTTCCATATTTTGACAAAATCTGTAGCATCAGGTAAATGAGAATTCCTACTCAAAACTATGCACAATTACGTTGTAGACATTAATCGACAGCTTGTCCTGCGAAGACTAATGTAATTAGTTCCTGACTTATGTACAATATTCCTATTCATACAATCACTGCGATTGGGAATCACTGACTGTCATAATAGTTTTGAATTAAAGGCTTAGTGTGCTCAGCACACTAACCACCCAAGGTGCATGTTCAGACAGTTCATTGCACTGTGAAGTACTTGGTATACATAGCGCTGCTGGACTTCCAGTCGTTTAATGATCATAAAGGTACGCAAGTGCTGGCAGCACATGCCGCGTCTCATGTAAGCTCAGCAACCTTTGTTTTTAAATGGACAGAGCTACACATGCATGCTGTACATGCAGTGTGCAACCGTAATTGAACTTGAGATGCGTTTGGGGTGAAAATAAATGCATTCCTGTTTGTGTTTTCTCTTACGGCCTTTCTTTCAAGTCAGGAGGGGTAAAAACGGAAAAAAAGAGTTTTGGGGGTCTGTTTGAAAAATAATAGATGCGGATAAAACCTAAAAAGTGCCATCTCAGAAAATAATAAACCCGTGTGCACACACTTTCTTGACCAATCAAAATCAATTATACTGTCTTGTATCCAGGTGCCAGCGCATGATTTACACAACTGGAATATCACCTCTCAGCAGGCATGATCAAATGTTACTTCATGTTCAACTTGCATGCTGTTGCATAGGGAGACTGTCTAGGGTATTTATGAATAAGGGAATAAAACTGTGGTGACGTATGTGAATCAACTTGTCGTTTTTAACAGGTGAGGGGCCTGGTTGTCAACAATGGCCCTCACCTGCAGCTTGGGTCACTCAACAATCAGGCTATAAATCACAAGTTTACACATAATCCACATACTTTTAATCTCACTCATAAGCATCTTCTTGTTAAAAAGGATAAAAAAATTGCACAAATGGACGAAATCACAAACAGTTTCACAAGGCAATCTTGCTTCATAATGACTAGCCATAATCGGGCCTATTCATTAAAAACCAAAATGGCGTATTTGCAGCTTTTTGACAATAGCGGGCAAAAATCAAATTTAAAGAATTTAGTTGCTTTTTGGTAAAATTTACTGTAAATGCAACATTCCATAAATAAATATGTGAAATAAATTGCAATAGAAAAAAAGCTTTTTATTTCTCATGTGCAAACTTTAACTAGAGTTTTCAGTTTTTCCCACTTACACTGAAGCCACTCATGTGCACTATGCATTTTCAGATCGAAAAAAAAAACGCCTTTTTTTCAACTTACAAATGAAGTATCTTTTTTGTCAAACCCCACGAGCCTGGTACCATTCAAAGTAGCACAATCGGATCTGTAAAAAAATGCTTAGTTCACAGCTGTATGTGCTACATACCAGAGCTCAGAAAGTTATGAATGAACCACTACGCTTCGCCCAATCTACTCTTGAAGACTTTTGAAGTCGCACGATTCAGCGTTCGCGGCCCCAACATTTTGCCAAAGCTTGCGTGAAAGGCTAACTTTGGCTGCATCTCCGCGCCCCAATGCAAGTTGATCGACATGGTAATGGGTTTCACCATTGCCCTAAAGGGGTATTACTTCAAGTTGCTCGATGTTCACAGCTGAATTGAAAATTCACGGGTTGATTTTGACACGAATTTGGACAATCAGAAGGTATTAAAGAACATATTTGACATGAATCACAATCTTTTCTAATAAATATGTGAAATTTAAGTCCCTATGTTTTGTACTTTTGTGCGGAGAGAGATTTTTGGAGAGCTATTCTGGGGCTTTTTGACAAAATTTATATAACCGTGCCATGTTATTGTATGGAGCCCCTAGTACTGCGCTATTGTACTGAGTGAGTGAGTGGCCGTACAGAGTTTGGGGGTTTTTGCAGTATGAATTTGAGCGTCATCGTAATTCAGGGAAGGTGATTGTGGGAAGAGAGCAGATTTTGAAGTAATTTTTTATAACAGTTAGACCCCAGGGTCATGTACATTTCGAAATATGAGTTTATCGTCGATGATTATTTGGAGCCATACGTAGGTAGTTCACAACTTAGTGAACATCTGGGTAAAAGCAGAGAAACACCCCTACAATGGCATGGAAATGTCCACTGTATAGCTTACGTATGCGCGGTCTGTTTATTTTTAATGGACGATACCATTCGTGATTTTAAGGGTGTTTAAGTTATTAAATATGGGGACTAGTTTTTTTTATATTTTAGCTGTTGTTATTTGTTGCATTTAAATAGTTATCATTTCTTGTATGAAATTATGTACAGAACATAAAGGATAACCAAATAAATTGGAAAATATTCACTCACGACATTAAGTTTTATCAGACAAGACAAATCAAAATGAAATGTCGCTTTTCACAAAAATAAAACTAAACCAGAAACATAACATGTAAACTATATCCTATTTCATTCTTTTTTTTAAGGCCAACCTCACAACCATTCTGGAAATAAACAGAATCACAATGGAAAATGTTAGGGCAGCTAAGGCTCTCCTCTACCACACATCAGAGGAGGTCTCCTAAAACGTCCAGAGAAGCAAACTGGAACTGCATAACAAAAAGTGGCAATGCAAAGGAACCAAATCATTGCTAAGCAACAGCTGCATCTGCTTCCACTGTACCAAAGTGATCCTGAATCTCTACTGCACAAGAAAGTGAAGCATAATGCCGGGAAAATGATGTGACTGTTGGGTGGTTCACTGCTGAAGTAACAGGAATTTACAGCAGAAAGAGAAACAGCATGAAGTGTGAATACAAAATAGTACATGACAGTTTTCCTGATGATGAATGGCACTTTCCCCTGCTGAAAGATATGAAAAATGGTGACATCATTGTTATTTAATAGCAAGTAAGAATTATCAGATGAAATTTCTTACCTTATCATGTTACAATTAGAACTTTCTGGTCAATGTTCTACAGTGTGTCATGGAATATCAGAAGAAGTTAAAATGAATGAAGGTTACGCTCTGCACTACATGAAATAATTAAAGTTTCTGTTCATGCTATTACATTACTTCCGCATATTTACGGGCCATAAATGAAAAGAATGTTCCCAGTAGGAAAATATTGCTGTTCACACAGGAATGAGTTACAATTTTTAAAACCACCTACATGTAGATATCCTGAAGAGCATGAAAAACTGCACCAGTGTGTGAAACTACATCCAAATATCTCCAATATTAATTAAGTTTCATCAATTTTACGACTTTGACATGGCGGAAATGTGCACGATTTGGGTTGATTAGGGGGTATATGCTTTATGTGCAGCATAAGGCTTCAGTGTATACCATTGTCATGAACATATAAAATGTGATACATGTATCTCAAAAATTACTCATCCAATCTAAATGATTTAAAAAGCATTGTGTTCCTCTCAGTGAGAGCTTTCATATGACACCAGTTTTACGGTTCCTGGGGGTACCAATATTTTTGATCTGAAGACCCTACTTTAACTGTTCACAGACATGGAATTCTAGGCTGCCCATGGTGGTGGGGTGGCACATGTAGATCCATCCTGCAGTGATAAAAGATGAGGGTCAAGGTATACTCCCCTCCTTCAAAGGATTGAGTCAGACACGGGATGTGTGATAAAATAATTATTTTAATTGATGATTCACAGCTTTCATCTCCACACACTCAAGCATTTGCAAGTCAAAACAACCCTTTATGCAAAATAATTACAGACTGTTTAAACTCAAGAAACATTATTGTACACAAAGTTGAATATAGTTTCTGCATAGTTCTTTTAGACAATGTTATGAAAACAGTTTGGCAAAACATGAAATTGAAACATACATGTAACATTTACATTTAGGTGAATTTCCCCGGTGTGGTAGCTCAAACTCCTTCCCCGCGTTTAGTGTGGATCCAATCTACTAGAGAATACCTACCCAAATAGTCACTATATATGCTAATTTCCCATGCACCTATTATTCATTCGCTGAAAAGATTTTCATCACCCGTGATGCACCCTAACCTCCCACAATGCAGTGCGGCCTTGCCGCCATGATC